AAAAAAAAAAAAAGAATCCAACCCCCCAAATAAATAAATAAACAAACAAATAAGGTACATGACACACTTGTGGGGGTGGGACCATGCAAATAATGTGTATGGAACCCTAACATGGGAACTGGTCAGTTTTGCCATCCTGCTAGGCTTAAAATGAACCATCCCAGAGGTGGAAAGGAGGCTGTCCTGACTGAAGAACTGTACCCTGAACATTCCTAATCCTAAATTGTAACCTGTTCCACTTCACTAATAAACCCCATAATCTTGAGTACTATCTGTGAGTTTTGTATGAATACTGCAATGAATTATTAAACTCAGCAGAGCAGTAGAGTATGTGGGAGGAATAGCTGATGTCAGAATTAGTAAAGAGGCTGGAAGCATGTCTGACCTCCACCTTATATACAGGAACCAGCTTTGAGCTGTTGATGTTGATTCTGATCTTCTTCTCTCCCTGTGAAGTTAGAGGTCAGACTACAATGGCACCCTCATACCCTGTTGGCATCAACCTTGTTGAAAACCAACTAACCAAAAATCTCACTGTTCTTTTAAATGCCAGTTGATACTGAGTAGACACTGACTTGTGCCAACTCCATGTGTCAGAATAGAAAGAACTATGTTCCATAAGGTTTTCTAAGCATGGTTTTTTTGGAACTAGACCTCCAGGCCTTTCTTCCAAGGCAGCTCTCAATGAACTTGAACCACCAATGCTCTGCTTACCAGCTGAGCATGTTAACCATCTGCAATGCCCAACGGCTCCAATCAATCTTAGCAATATAGTTTTTTCATTTTAAAATAATAAACACACTCCTAAGTAATTTCCTAAGCTTCATAAAAACAATGTCAACACTTTTGCACAGAATCATTACTTTCTGAAGAACTGAAGGAATGGTAATTTCTCAAGGATTTCATTTGGGAATTTAGTTTCTACTACTACCTGATAGATGGAAAAGAGGAAATCATGTTAGGATGATTAACTTTGCCAAGATCTCTGCCTCATCAGAGACACTATGGAAAGTAAGCAATTAGCATTAATACAAAATGCTACTTTGAACATTTAGACATTTTGATTTTAGACATTTTACCTCACTGAAAGGAGGCACTCT